GGTTTTTTTTTTTTTTTTTTTTTGAGTGTGTGCAGGGTGTGCAAATCAGTTTAAATGTACAGTTGATGAAACACATCAAATATGTATTATTATGCAGTTAGATGCTGCATGGAGTTACAAAGTGTCAGAACAACCTTCAATGAAAAACAGAGGTCTGAATGTTAAAAAGCACCATGTAGAACTATTTTACATTTTATGCATGATGAGTATTTTAATTTAGCTTTGATTAAAATTTACATTTTATGCATGATGAGTATTTTAATTTAGCTTTGATTAATTTGGCACTAAAATATGATTAATGATTGTATTAAATGAGTTTAAAGGCATATTGTACCTAGAGGCTATGGATTATTTGATTATAATAGCCTACATAAGGCAGACCGGCGCTAGTTTAGACTTTGTGCCATAAGACTTTCGACTCAAAAGCTTATTGTTACAGAGATATAGCCTTATCACAGTGATCCTCAAATCTGGCTCGCAAGATCTACTTTCCTGCAGAGTTTAGCTCCAACCCTATAATCAAACAAACCTACCTGTGATTTTCTAATGATCCTGAAGACATTGATTAGCAAACTCAGGTGTGTTTGATTAGGGTTGGAGCTGAACTCTGCAGGAAAGTGGATCTCGCGAGCCAGATTTGAGGACCACTGCCTTATCATGTAAAGAATGATGGCATTATTTCAATCCCTGTTTACAAACCGGTTTCTGACCTCAGGTCACAGTGCTGTCAAATGTCACACCCTGGAAGCTTGTATCATTTGACATGCATACACTCTCTCTGTGTGTGGTTTAAACATTTTATGAAAATATTACAAACATCTAACACAAAGTTATGCTATAGAATAGTCATACGACTGTACTCATTACAATAACACACTGTGAGATATTATGGGTCTGTACGGAACTGTATATGTGTAACAGTAAGACAGAATGAGTTCTTGTAATTCACAGTGTTTTCTCCTGTGGTGAACTGTGACTAAACCATATACAGGCATATGGTTCAGTATTACTGGAAAAAATAAGACCTCCATGGGCACCCCTGTTTTATGTGTCATACAAAAACATAAATTCTAAAGAAAAGAAACCTCTGACATGCAAAACCCAGAAATAGAAGAGGTTCATATACTTACAATGAAGTCACAGGCATGACTCAGAACCTCAGCACGCTTTGATGAGAACTGACAAATAAAACAAATGTGAATGTCAGAAGAAAGACTAGATAAATGAAGGGGGACATCTGTTCATCATTTAGTGAAAGCCATGGATATCAACTCACCTTATGATTCAACAACAGCCAGAAACAAAAACGAGCTAAAAGCAGTTCACTGATCTGACAGAAATAAACGAGCACATATATTGAATCGTGATGCTCTGGATAAACTACTTTATTGGTTGCTGTTCATTTACAAAATATACATGGTTACCAAAATACTTCAAATTTCATTATTTTTTTTTAATAAATGCCTTTTAAGGCAAGACAACATGTAAACATGTCAAAGACACTGTACAGAACAGTTACAATTACACAACCACATACAGTACAGACACACAGCAGCATCGCCACAACGCCACATACCAACATCTCCATACATCTACCACCCTCCGGCATCCAGTAAAGCGCCAAATGCATTTCTAATGAATTTGTTAGTCTGTACAATTTGCAATTCTCTCAAAAACCAAAAGATTGTAATTACAAGATAAACAGAACAGAAGAGAGAACCAGACTGGAGAATGGACTTAAAGGAATAGTTCACCTAAAAATGATGTGGATGAGTTTGTTTGTTTTTTCATCTGAAAGGATTTGGAGAAATTTAGCACTACATTACTTGCTCACCATTGGATCCTCTGCAGTGAATGGATGGAGTCCAAACAGCTGATGAACACACAGCTTTTTACTTCACAAGACCATAACTGATCGACTACAGTCGCACTTTTGGATTATTGTCATGTTTTTATCAGCCGTTTGGACTCTAATTCTGACGGCACCCATTCACTGCAGATTATCGATAGGTGAGCAAGTGATGTAATGTTACATTTCTCCAAATCTGAAGAAACAAACTCTACATCTTGGATGGCCTGAGCCCTGATGGTGAATACATTTTTGGGGGAACTATTCCTTTAAATTAAAGACAACATGACATTCAAAATTCATTGATAAAGTGAATAATTTTATGTAATAGTTCATAATAAGGTCCATTTGGAGAAAGCCTGGGCTTTCCAAAAGTTGATATTTACTCTGATTGCATATTTGGAAATATTCTGGACAATTTCAAATCATAATGGTGTCATCCACAGCAAAAGTGAACAGAAAAAAAAATAATTTAAAGAGGACATAAATTACACTGTTCTTCATCTTCAAGACAAAACAAAAGCAAAAAGTTTAAAAACTTGGTAAATTTGGATTTGGACAAAACATGCAAACTCTAATCTTACGAAATTGTCACAGGAGCTAAAATTTACCACTGGTTTCTATCACTCAGCATGCAAAATCTACTTCCACAGACATGCAAATATACAATCTCTACATATCACATCATTTACAAGTGCTGAGTGGAAGAGTAAAATAAATTCGCTCCTTCCGATGTGAAAGTTTTCATATTCCATTTCATCAATGTAACAAACCTTCCAATGCTGTGCAGTACAAATAGCACGTTTATTTCAAAGACAAATCACTGTGTAGCATGCACTGTCTCATAGAATATCAGCTGACCATTGAAACATTGAACATTCAGTTGTGCTACCACTGAGTTCTGAGTCTATCAACGGGATAGCAGAAAACG